AAGACATATTCAGACCGTCAAGCGAAAGTTAAAAGAAACTAATTGAAAACAAAAATCCATATTTAGTATAGCTGGAATATCATAACTCTCTTATTTTATCTGAAAATAAGTCACCGTCAGAATTAACGAGTGGAAGAAAAATGAATGAACTGATGCCAGTAAAAGAGACTTTTATTCAAATTAGTGAATTGAAGAAGAAAAGCAACATTTGTTGAAAAGCATTACAAAAAGTTTATGATATGAATCATAATAAAAGTGCTGAAGGTAGGAAATCATACGTACATCAATGAGAAAGGAAAAATCATAGGAGAAATATGCAGAATTATACAAAGCAATGGAAGACTTAGAAATGAAAAGAAAAATCATCCTTAAAGGAACTAATCAGAAAGATTTCACACTGCAAAATAGTTATCAGAATGACAGCAGTGAAAGCAAAGAAGTGAATGAATCTGAGATTAGTAGGAACGCTCCAAATTTAAAGGTACTTGCAAATTCTCCTGCATGCAACAAAAGTGTTGCATCCAGGAGTTCACTATAACATTCTAGTTGCTCACATACTAACCATATATTCTAACTCAACATCAAGTCTTTACTCTATATAGGATTGGAAAAGTTGGAACACTATAGTCAAGGAGATTCAGAGAATGCTTCTCTTCTTGCCAACAAACATTAGACCAAAGCTCCAATCAGTCCATATATACATTGGAGTACATGGCAATGAAAAAGGTACACAAAACTGCGAAATTGGCAACCATGAATGAACATATGTAGATATTGTACCTACCATGGCCGAAGTTGCACATGAAAATGACCACTAGGACTCTTTGGATGGAGCAGTGGCAAAGTTCCTGGAATAATGACATACTGGCCAAAGTGTACATAATTATCTTCCCCAGATCAGATATAAATTATGCAGTGGTACTTCTGAGCTGACACTATTCCTGATGGGACATGGTCCATACATGAGCTATTTATTTCGTTTTGGCTTTTGGAACAGTGGGCAGTGCATATGTAGAGGGATTGGAGACACTGACCATTATATTTTTGACTACTCATAAACAAGTGCTTATCATCTCCGCATTCCATCAGGTGAAAACAAACATGTGTGGGCAAATAACAGCTGTTGTAACACATAGGTGCTCAGATGTACCCAGTAATGCTCTGAAATAGCTCTTGAATCTCCAATCAACTAAATAACTAGATCACGTCCTGCTATAGCGAAAGGCAGTAAAAAGAAATGCCATAAACTTGAAAAATGCATAATATGCATATTTTTTCAAGCTAGTGGTATATCAGCAAACAAAATAAGAATCACTGGCAAGGCTTAAACAGGTTGATAAGCACCATTTTCAAGTGGACCAACTGCTCTGTCAGTGGAGTAAAATAACATAAAGAAGTGATGCATCACCAGATTTTCCAAATGGACATAACTATGTTATTTCATTTGGTATGATAGTTAAAAAACTCTATTATTTAAAAAAGTATTTAGAATCTTTTTATTTCTGTTAAAAAGAGAGATGTCACATATGTAGCTGTAGCTGTAATACAATGTATGTAACCATAACTGTAGTACAGAATTGTAGCAAGTAGAGTAGAATAAACAATGTTCAGCTGATCTTGGTGTAATCCTTACTTATTAATAACATATAAATAATATTACACTTACCAAATATTAACGCCTCCTTTGAATTTCCAATAAAATATTTGTCTTAATAGACATTTTATCATTCCATTCATGTTACACAGTACCTAATCAAGGCTCATTTTTAAAAGGCTTCATTACTAGGTTCTGTATTATTTAATATTAATATAAACTATCCAACTTTACATTCCAACAATATTTCCCCAAACACTCTACAACTTCACATTTTGCACTTGGCTCACTTTGAAGAACCTAACTTCAAATGTTTCAGTTGTTTCCTTAGATGAATACCAAATTTAAAATCCCTAAATCTGCATTTGATGTCTAAACTGCTAAAAATAACATTCTTTTGATACTCAAGATCACCCTAAATGCTTTGCAAAAACAGCTTCGATATTTTATGAAAAATTAATAACAAAACAGGTATTGTTTTAAAAGTTATCAGTTAGTTTTACTATTCAAACAAATTTTACACTGACATGATTATTTCCTCCTTATTTTATTTGGCAAAAATATTTTTGTTCCTGAAGAAAAGGATCTGCATCTGACTGCTTTTGAAACTGATCGTGTTTTATTGAAAATCTCTGACAAACTTAAGGTCACCTTTTTTCCCCCCGATTTTACACTTATTTTCTTCACTAAAAAAAAAAAAGAAGAAGAAGAAGAAGAAGAAAAAAGAACTGTGTAAAAATATCTTTGAGAGTTCCTGCAACAATTGTAAAATAGAATTTGGAAGCCTGAAAATTTTATTACCAAAATAAAACTTCACCCTAGTACCTATAAAAAAGTATTCTCAATTGAAAGAACTTCATTTTTTTTTTAACTGGAATTTGAATTTCAGAACTCAAATGAAAAACTTTTATCATTTTATACATGATCATAATAACAAAAGTCAATTTTTTAATCCAGTTACATTGTGTCAAAGGAAGAAAGAATCAGAAAAGTACTGAAGTACCTTTCTTGATTATTTCACCAAATTAAAATCATGCTTATATTATAAAAACATTAAAATAAATTGTCATATTCTATAAAGGTGCATTTTATTCACAAATTAAAAAAAAATTCATAAATAACAATTCAGCATGCAACATACTTTCCATTTTCTCCAGCTGCTTTGAGAGCTATTCTGGCCAATGTTTTAGCTGTAGTTTCATCATACCAAAATTGACTGAACTTCTGTAATTCATGAAATATGTTAATAATAGAGATATATATACACAGATGTATATTCAGTAATAAAACCTTTCATCAAATGGTAAATTAAACCACATAACTAACACTTAAAATGTATGCACATGGTGCACACACGTATATGTACAATATGTATGTGTACACTGACTACCAATAAGTATTAGGACACTTATGCAAATGACGATATCTGAGGTCCTAAGGTACATCACTGACTCCGCCGGTATATATCATGTAGGAAACAGCATCGGCTTTAGTCGCATGCAAGATGCCTCGCAGTTCAAAGCTCTATGATTTCGAGAAAGGTATAATTATCGGGTATCACAAATACAGCGATTCTAAGGACATATCTAGCGACTGAAGTACCCAAAATCGACAGTGGCCTTGGTTAAGAAGTGGAAGATGAGCGGATTGTGGAATGTGCCCCGAGTCGGCAGACCAACGAGGGAGAAGAGACCGCGAGTGCTGTCCAGAGAAATTCGGAAGAACCGCACCCAACATGCCCTCGCATGAGGGAAGTTTCAACAGGCATCCGGGAGTAATTGTTTCAATGAATACCATCCGTAAGGAAGGCACATCTGCTTGGTTTTCATTGTCGTGCTCTGCCCTAAGCCTTTGATCACAATCCACCAACCCTTCTCGGTTTAATGTGGTGCAAAGCACTTGAATTAACAGTAGATCAGTGGAACGGTTTCTTTGGAGGACGAATCCAGGTTACCCTTTACCGTTTCGGTGGAGCTGGTTGCTCTACCGGAGAATTTCCTCCAGAAATGCATTGTGCCAACGTCAAGTCGGCGAGGTGGAAGATGTCTGGGTGTTTCCCTGTATGGGAGGGACCCTGTCCCCTTCATGGGTAGCTCACCTGCGATGCTACTTTATTTTTTGGATGCTTGTGCTTCCTACTTGGGCGTTTTAGGGTGGATCTCTGTTACTTCAGGACGACATGCCATTGTCATGTTCGTCGTTGACCAGCTTTTTGGGCCATGGGTTCATCGAATTGATGCCTCCCAGACTCCGACCTACCCTGTCGAGAACCTCTGGGACGAGTGCATCGCCGAATTCAGGGTGCACTACCCGTGCAAAATCGGGAAGGAACTTCTATGTCTTCTCCAAGCCGAGGGAAGAAAATACCACTAGCTGTCATACAAAGACTTGCGGAAGTTTGCCCCGGAGGGTCTACGCTGTAATTACCTCTCGTGGTGGCTCTACCAACTACCGATTTTGGAAAAAGTTAGTTTTTCTTTTCTATCACAGGTGTCCAAATACTTATTGGTAGTAGAGTAGATTTAATGGTGGCCCTTGAATTATCGCTAAGTTGTTGTTTCATTTATGGTAACTTGAGTAGCTGAATGCCATGGAAACCCTATTATGACATAATTGGTTGAATGATGCGTGACTGTGGTGAATTTGAATGATGGGAAAAGATTTGGAAAGAAGTATGTTGTTATTTTGTGGTTCACTCGGTAAAATGGCTGAATGTGGTAAGATTAATTTGAAGTTCCTGTACGACTTGAAACGAAAGGGGGGAAAACGTTAATTGACTGGTGTGAAAATGAAGGTTTACTTAGTAGCCATTGTAAGTGTCCTGTTTGTAGGAAGCAAATGCATATGGTTGAACGTCGGAGATATCGGCACTATGGAGGATACTTTTGACTTTGATTTTTGTGAATTTATGTGGTGATGCCAGTATACAGATTACAGATCCTAGATCAGATAATTTTAGGAAGTTTTTGGATGTTGTTGAGGAATTTTGTTTGACTGAAGACACGAAAATTTTTTAATAAAGTAAGTGGATATTTTCTTTGTGTAGTGCTAAGATAAATTTACTTTTTTATGTTATTTCACTGTTTGATTTAAAATGTAGTTTAATTGAGATTATATAGCTTTTGTTGGTGCTCCTTTGACTTTTTACGTGAATATAGATCAATGTATACATAGCCAAAGGGAGTGCCTAATGCCTAGTTTGTGCAAACCTCTGATGTTTTTTTAAGTAAGTCAATGTGTACATGGATACCAAATTTCTGCAATTTTTTGACTTGTTATTTTGGATTTGAAGAAATTTCAGATAAGCGGCACTTGGCACAATTTTTTCCCGCCATCTTGAATTATGAAAAATTGCCATATCCTCGGGAGGGATTTTTTTACACCAAGAGAGAAATGGCATTAAAAGGCGCTTTCCAAAAATTCCATCTTCAGCTCAATATTGAAGAAAAGCTCTTCCAATATCGGACGAAAATCGCATAAGGCAAAGTGTAACATTTGCTTCGAGAAAGTAAATCATACACATAGAACAAATTGTACTCGATTAGTTGTTATGATTAGGTAAATATACGTACTTTTTTTCATCTTAGCATTTTAGATTATGATATAGATAACTCCAGCATCATTAACTTTTATACTTCTGCTTTTTAGTTCTTAGCATTAATTTGAACAATTATCCATAATAATGGTTATACATGTTCTTTATATAAATGCAGCAATGATCATAAAAATGCAATATATATCACATAGTTAAAGAAAGTTTTAAAAAATAAAATATGCATGTATTTCCAGAACAATATTAAATCTCCAAAATGTATTCAATCATCATCCAGTCCGGTTTATATTGGACATTCTGGATTCTTTTATGCACACAATTTCTCTTAATAAGTTTAAGAGTATTATTATTTTTTTTTCTTGTTTAAGTGCGAAAATAGTTTTCATGTAGGTAAATAAAAAAATGTCATCCTGAATTGCATAACAGCAGGGAAAGAAGATTTGTAACAAGCGCTTCTATGTCTTTTCATGACATAAAAGAGACCAATCAAATAAAATAGAATAATGTTAATTTTATTTGTCTATATTTATTCCATGAAAAGTTAAATCATAAGATATTATTTTTGTGCAATTTGAATGTTCTCTATAACAGTGGTTTCAAACTAGTGTCCGGCGAAGCAATTTTATGTGGTCGACGCATGTATTTCAGTTACGCATTTCTTGCAAATACAGTGATGCAAAGATTTCTATGTTTTATTTATTAGAAGTTTGAGTTTACATTAGATTCATTAGTATTAAACATGAACATAAGTAACACGTCAGAAAAATCTATAAATATAAATCTTATTCAAAGATTTGAAGACACAAATTTAATTAACTTAACAAAAGGGATTAAACAAATCTTCCACAAATTAAAAATATATATATATATATATATTCGTATTAAAGTACAGTTAATTTATTTATGGCCAGACTCCCACAATTAAATATCAAGTAAATAATTAAAAAATTTTCATTCTAATTAGAAATTACCTGAAATACGAGAGAGAATTTGTATATTTTATTCTATAAAAATAAAAAATTTATCTGATTAAAAGCATTATTGAAGTTTAATAAAAATTTTAGATAAATTTTTAAAAATAATTTATTTAGAAATTAGTGATATGTAATACCTGAAATAATGTGAGCCATCTTGTATAAAAATAAAATTATCTTATTCTAATTACAGTTTTAATTAATTCATTTAGAAAATAATTAAACAGCGAATTCAAAATGGCTGCTGAAAAAGTCACATGATCACATGCACAGAGATTTATCTGCAAAGTCAGGATACCCAACACAGAAAGAAAATAGTCCTTTCCTTTTCCCTATCTTAGTTAACATCTGAACTAGCAACCTAAACACTCTTGCCACAGTTTGGCACCTATTGCTCAATTCAGGAACCTCGCCAAGTGCCGCTTATCCAAGTATCCCCTGGATTTGTGTAGCAGCGATTTTTGGCCCAAAAATCACCGCTAGACAAAACCAAAATAACCAAGTCGAAGAATTGCACATACTCTGTGTCCATATACCATCAAAAATCGCCAATTATCGCCAAGGCGCACCCATAAAAATATTTTTACTCTAATTTTATACTCAGAAGGCAGAAGAGGGATCAACATCAACTGTTCTTGAAATTGATAGTATTACTATTAAAAAGCTACATCAAACAATTTTTTTTTTGCCTAATTTTAAATGGTTGACTCAAAATGAAATCAAGATGTGGCCGATTTCAACCATTACTTGCTGACATTTTTCTGCAACTTGTCAAATTTTACAACGCATGTTAAGCATTTTTAGCAACTTTATCTTTTATTTGGCTATTTTATTTCCGTTTAAGAAATTTATTCTATGATACTCTTATCATATTAATTGAATTGTTGATAAAAATAACCATTGTATTTTCACCGATTTCACATACAAATAGGTACGACTTCAGCAATTAAATAACAGTATCCAAATGCACGTTTACTCTAGAACCAAAGAAAAATTCATTCACAACAATACAATTACCATATAAAATGGATATAAATATTTTTTTTTTTGTAAAATTAAAAAACTAAATTAAAGCTAAAAGTACTTTCAAAAAACATATTCAGATAGAGCAAAGCAGAATAAAATAGTGCAAACAACTGCAAAAGTTGGAGAAATGTGGGGGGAAAAAAAAACAATCAAAATCATTACCTTGCTTTCCAATCTAAAACTTAAATTTGTATAAATTACCACAAAATAATAACTATATTTCAAAACAAAAAAAAAATTCATGTATTATATACTGCTGCATTTAGAAACAAGTCTATTGTTTATGATAAATTCAGAAAAACGAAGAAGACATTATAGTTTATTTTGTTGATTACGGAAAAGCAAGCAAGGTTTGATAGTTATCTAGTACATAAATAAACATATAACTTAGCGGGAAAAAGAAAACTCTCTCGATTTCGTATTACACAAGCAGATAATGATGAAAACATTTATGCAGCTAGCCCATTTGACAAGATCCAAGACATTAAAATGAATTTGTACATAACTTCTGTGCGGAATTTTTATGAAAAAAAAAAAAAAAAAACTTAAAATGAATGTTATAATTGATCCAGAAAATTGATTGTAAGCACATGTATCTAGTTTCCAAAACGCTACATGCGTATGTTTTCAGTTTGATTTAATGCTAACGTATAAAAATTACCCAGTCTTCCTCCACTAAAATATTATTATTATGTGTAGTTTCTGAAAGAGATTTCTCTTCTTGTTCTTTGTAGAATTCCTGAAGAGCTTTCAAAGTATGCTCGGAAAGTTTTATATCGTTATCATCAGATAGCATGTTGTAAGGTAATTTGTTTACATTTCATAGACGTTGGGTTTTGCCACTTTCGGAAGTAATTCTTTGTTTTTGTCATATTAAAAAATGCATAATAAGTGAAAAATTAATTTATGACAATGACTTTGTTTGAAATATTCATCAAGTTTAAATCGTGATCTCATTTTTTAAAATTGTGGTGATTTATCAAATTGTACGTATATCAATCGAAAATAAAAGTAACTTGCTTTTTTTTTTTTAAAGTCAACGCGCATGCCAGACGTAGATGTACTCAACTCTGCATCGTGTTGCTTTTGCGCTCGTGTTCGTGTGTTGAGAATTTTTTTATAATTTTGTAGTGTTCTAGAAGCTTGCGTTAACAGGTAATCGCAATTTATTTAAAACTTTTTTAAATCGGTGAAAATACAATGGTTATTTTTATCAACAATTCAATTAATATGATAAGAGTATCATAGAATAAATTTCTTAAACGGAAATAAAATAGCCAAATAAAAGATAAAGTTGCTAAAAATGCTTAACATGCGTTGTAAAATTTGACAAGTTGCAGAAAAATGTCAGCAAGTAATGGTTGAAGTCGGCCACATCTTGATTTCATTTTGAGTCAACCATTTAAAATTATTACTAATGCTATACTATTTATTACTAATGCTATACTAATAATCATAATGAATTGGTCCGTGCCGTATGGTGAAGGATAATTTCTCTGTCACAATCAGTTGTTTCATTGTTTGTCATGTAATACTGATGTATGAAATGAGTATATTTAGTCACTTGGATTTTAGCAGATTTCGTGTTTCAGTTGTTAAATTGTACGTTTCTGAGAAAATCTAACTCACGCACATACTGGCACGCCCACACATATACACACGTATGTATAGGTTTATAAACTACAATTTAGGATTTTCAAAATTATGATTTAAATTATTAAAATGTTTAAATTATTATTAAAGTAGCGCAGTATGCTATGACTGTAATATCCAGTTTTACCAAATACTTTTTTTTAACTTGCAGACTCAACATGCAGTTGTTTTTGAGAAGCCAAAATGTCCATCCTGTTGATGTGAATAATGAAAGGATTTCATATCTTAAAGTAAGTTTTTTAAGTATATTTTAGTACTATTTATTGTGATGATTTTGTCTGAATCATCATCTATACATAAATTTTCAACAAAAACTTAATTCACAAAAATTCTAACGATCTGCCCATCTTGGGACAAAATGTTGTGTGCAAATTAGTGAATTTTGTAAATTAGAACTTGAATTTTATTTACATTTTTGGGTACAGATGTACGAAACACATGGGCTGCCAAATATGGCAGTATTTAGTCTAACATAGTAATGCTGATTTTTGGCAAGATTTTATATTGTATGGTAACCCATTTAACCAGTTTAGGTATTTCTGTGGGTTTTCATCCGCAGAGAACCCCTTGGCACTTTGGGAAAGCACCTGTTGGCGTCGTTGCATTTTTACTCGCTATGCTCACAAAGAGCCGAGCCATAAACGTGATTTTTAGCGCATGCAAATTCAAATTAGCAGATAAAACAATATATTAAGCATATGGTAGTAAAAATTCACAGATAAGAAGCATGTAGATGTAAAACTAACCGGTTAAACGAGATATACGAAAATAAATTTGTATTAAATTCAAGTTAGCACAGAAAAGAATATATTATTAAGCATAAGACAATATATAAGCATTTATAACGGAAATAAAAATTTATTAAAAAAATATAAATTAGTATTAATATACTGAAATTTACTGGTTAAACATGATATACGAAAAAAATTTGTCTTAAATTCCAGTTAACACAGAAAACAATATATTCCATAATAAAATCATTTTTAAAACAAATGCAAAATTAAAATGTATTTTAATATTTAACAGCCATAAATAATGTTAAAACATTTAGATTAAATTTATAGATATTAATAAAACCAATTACTTTTTAAGTAAGGTGGCGTCATTGATTACATCATCCACAACATAAAATTATATAAAATATTAAACAACAAATTTTTATTTCAAAAAAAATGTAAAATTAAATTGATTTTTAATATTTAGAAGCCATAAATAATATTTAAAACACAGAAGTTATGCATAATAAAACGCATTATTTTTTAAATAAAATGACAACAAAGTATCGGTTACCATAAATAACTTATCCAGCAATGGGTTTACCATAAGTTGTATTACTCGCCAAAAGGCAAATCGCCAAAATCCGTGCAACCGTCTACCAAAGTAGCACCATTTTTTTAAGTGAAAATAGGTCGATGTGTACATGGATACTGAGTTAGTGCAGTTCTTAAAAACGTGCCAAGCAGTGGGAAATTCTGCACTTTTCCCATCTGTCTCTACCAGTTGTTATGTGTGATTGGTGTCAATTTATTAATGAGACCATTTTGGGTTATATTTGTAAAACTTGAAAAAATAGGGAGGTAAGGATAAGGTGTTTCAAAATGTCAAATTTCAATTCAGAAAAAGAAAGATTAGGTTATAGTAGATTGAAGGGTGCCCCTTGTATAATCGCGAAGTTGTTGTTTCATTTATGGTAACCTGAATAGCTGAATGTTCTGTAATTATACTTTTAAGTGAAGATATATTGATGTGTACATTGACAAAAGGAGTGCATAGTGCCTACTTTGTGCAATTCTCTGATGTTTTCTTAAGTGAAAATAGGTCGATGTGTACATGGATAAAGTCAAGGGAGTGCGCAATACCTAGTTTGTGCAATTCTGTTTTTTTTTTTTTTTTTTTTTTTTTTTAAGTGAAAATGCGTTAGTGTACACATGGATACCGAGTTTGTGCAATTCTGTGACTTGTTATTTTGGCTTTGTATTGCAGCACGCCATTACACAAAGCCAAAATAACTTCTAAAAATAATAAGCCAAAAACTTCTCAGATTGTTGCAGAAGAATCTCGAAGTTTTTCATATTTCAAAATTGGCAGCTATGGTTTAACTAAATCCATCGTTATGAATATCTTACTGTTGTATTCTTTTCAATCATCTTTGACGTTTGTGCTTACACAAATGTTTATCTTCTCTACAGTTTCATTATACATTAATAAATCTGCTGTTGAGTTTGAGAATCATAAAATTTAATGTTGTATATTATTCCTTCCCCCTTTTTTAATTTAATCATTGCTTTGAAAAAATACTTTGATAAGTGTTCCTTAATATTTTTAGACATTTCTTGAAAAAGTAGAAGGTATATCAAGTGAAGAACAAGTTCTTTATTGTGGTGGTATTCCATTAGATGATGATCAGGAGATTGCCCAGTGTTTAACTGATGGTGCAACAATAGATGTGTGTGTCAGGCTTAGAGGAGGTATGGATTCTGTTTGTATTTTTATTTAAAATAGCTGTGTAACTTATTTCATGTGCAGTATGAATCTATTTATTATAGTAAAACATCACGTATACATTTTTGAAGGGACCATTAAAAAGCAAATGTTATTTAGTCTTATATAGCCAGAGGGGAAAAATAATGCAAATTATAAATCTAGTAAATAAGTGAAGTTAATGAAATCATATAATTCATACAAAACTGTCGTTACTAAGTCAAATGTCCAGAAAAAACCAGCAAGTCAAAAGTCATTGGTAAAACAATCAGAATTATTGCCCTTGTTAGTTGATCTCTCAAACTAGATTTTATGCCAGAGGAACAATATACTACAATTAAACCAAAATTGTGCTGCCAAATTGTATATATTAATAAATACAGGGTGTTTATAAAGTCCCGGGCCCATTTTGAGGTTTAATAACTCATAAAATAATAAAGATAGATTAAAATTACTAACGTAAATGGTTAGATAGACTCGAAAAGTTTCATGACCCTTGTCAATGAACTTCCATGTGTGCCCCATTCGTCGCACGGAGAATATCAAGTCGATATTCAATTTCACGCCAGGTACCAGCAAGCGTGTCGGCATCCACAGAGGCTATTGCTGTTGTAATTCTGGCTTTTAGGTCATCAATGCTCGACGCTGTCCTTCTGTAAATGTTGTCCTTTACAAATCCCCAATGGAAAAAGTCCAGCGGCCTTATATCAGGTTATCTGGGTGGCCAAGGAATTGGACCTCCTCGCCCAGTCCATCTTCCTGTAAAATGGTCGCTTAAAGAACTATGAACGATGGTACCCCAATGAGGTGGTGCACCATCTTGTTACAAAAAGACATATGGCTGAAGCTTTTCTAGTTGTAGAAATACGGAGTTTTCCAACGTGTCTAAGTATACGACTGATGAGACCGTCTTTCTGTAAAAAAGAAAGGCCCAATGACTCGGTCGGGCATTAGTTCACACCACACATTAACCTTTGGGGAATCCCTTTGTGCCTCACGCAGAGTTGCCAACTCTCCCGATTTAGGCGGGAGACTCCCGATTTTCGACCGCTCTCCCGCCAACCCGATTTACAATATATTTCTCCCGACTTTTTCTTATTCTTAATATTTCTCACGATTTTTATGAAACTTGGCTTAATACTTCGTTATATGAACCAAAAAAAAGTGATTTTGGACGTCTGAAAGCAACTGAATTTTCTCTAGATTATATCTAAAATGAAACCTTGCGAATCAGATGAGAATTTCTGCTTTGTGATTGACAGCATGCCTATCCAGAAACGTCGTTCTCCAGTTGTCCAATGGGCATCGAGCTCCACTGCGTGTCATCTGGCATATATTAGCCAAGCTCAAGGCCGTTGGCCGTTCTTTGGATGTTCTTTCGCTATTTTGTTCATCTTGTCCTGAGTTGTGTGAGTACACGTGCCTTTAGGAAATAGTTTTAGAAATTATCGTCTTTTGATATGTCTGTGAGAAAGGTGAAATACTCGTGCACGTTTCAAAAATTGTACACAGTTGACTTTCCTTCCATTATTTCTTCAAGGAAATGTAATAAATTTGCGAGGTGTACCATCTGTCGTTGCGATTTTTCGATTTCGCTTGGTGGAAGGGCAGATGTTCTCAAACATGTGCATACACAAAAACACAAGGACAACATGAGTTGTTTTGAAAAAACGAAAAATTAAATTTTTCTTCGGAAACAAAAGACCAAAAAGTGATTAATGCAGAATGTCTGTTCTCTGCCTTTTTACTGGAGCACAACCTGCCACTGAATGCATCGGATCACGCTGCAGCTTTATTTAGAAAAATGTTTCCCGATAGTGTGAAATCGCTAAGAAATATACTCAAGTGGCAAGGGACCAAAACAGGTGCAATTGTTAAGAAATGAGTTTGAAAAATAAATCTTCAGTTTATTGATTGCATTAAAACAGCTCCGTTCTGCCTCTCTACGGATGGAAGCAATAATACCAATTCAAACTGTATCCAATTGTTGTTTCTTTTTTTTTTTTAATTCAGAGTCTTCAGAAATTGAGTGCAGTTTACTTTCTGTCCCCACTTTAGAAGGACATTCGACAGGCTTTAATATAGCACAGCTAATTATTAAAACTTTAAAATAAAATGCAGTCCCTCTGGATAATTGCTTAGCGCTTGGTGCCGATAATGCACCAGTAATGGTAGGCTTGAAGACTGGTGTTGCAGGCATCTTAAGAAAGGCAAATTCAGATTTGCAGATTATGAGGTGCACCTGTCACCTCTTAAATTTAGCAGCTGAAGAAGGGGCAGATTCTTTACCATTAAATGTGGATGAACACATTGTTGATTTTTTGTAATTTCTGCATCATTCAGCAATTCAACTGGCAGTTCTCAAAATAATACTGCAAAATATAAGCGTAAAGCTGATACAAATTTCTCTCAAAATAATAAAAAAAAATTGCTCAATACATGAAACATTTTTCGATTACTGTAAGTTTATCTTCTGAAGAACGAATGTTTATGTTTTTTTCTTCGGACCTCAACAAAGCTTTCTGCTTTTTTTTTTTTTTTTTTAAATTCATTTTGCCATCATTCGATGTTCTGAACACAATTATACAAAGCAGAATTCCATAATTCATGTTTTGCAATCAATGATTTATGATCTGTTTAAAGACATTTTATCAAAGTTTGTAAAACCAGTCTGTGTTTTGTCTTGTAATTCTATATATGATGTGATTTATGGTGAAACAGAAAATCAGAAGGAAGATGAAGATTTGGTAATAGGAGCTGCAACTACAAAAGTAGTGGAAGAACTTTCAGAAGAAGACAAAAATAAGTTTTATCTTCATGTTAGAAGTTACTTCTGTCGAGTATGTGATTACACACTACATAAATTTCCAGTCAACGATGAAGACAAATGCATCTTTTTTTGATATAAGGTACTTTTTGAACAGATTTTCTGTGTTACTTCGTTTAGTCATGAAAGATGATGATATTGATGTTGCTACTGATTATACTGCAGTCGCAATTTTTGCAGTTTACAATTAGAAAACTTGGATGATGAGTTTTAAAATCAGCTAGGATTGACACCCAGTGGAGGTTAAATTGGGAAAATTGAAAGGTGCTGATGGAATTTTTTAAATATAGTGAACTCTCTAGAATTATGTTGGCCATCTTGACAGTTCCCCATAGTAATGCAGAGTAGAGTGTGAGAGGATTTTCAGTATTGTTGCGAAAACGAGGACTAAATTTAGATCTAATATTAGTGATGACACATTAGAAAAACTTTTATTAGCAAAAGCAGGCCTACGTGGCATTACTATGAACAAAATTATGAAGTTTCTTTTCTTAACGAGAGCAAAATCTGCCACTGTCCATGACATTTGTATGAAAAACTGATTAAAGTGCCTTTTTTTTTTTTTTTTTAACGATGAAAGTAATAAAAATGTTTTTATGTCTAAGGTATTTTTGTTTTGCTTGCATTTAAGACTTGGTAACTATTTAAAGTTAATTCATTATTAAAAACTATATTTTTATCATTTAAAAAGTCTTTTTAACATTGTGAAAAATCTCCTGATTTCTTAAAAAAATCTCCTGATTTTTGAGTGTCATAGGTTGGCAAATATGCTCACGGTATTCATGGGGATTTTCAGATCCCCATATGCGCACATTATGGTGATTAACATTGCCAGAAAGATGCCAAAAACAAAGGAGAGAAAAATGCAATTAATAAGCAGATGATATTTAAAAAAGTACAGATATTTAGACTGGAAAATGAAATTATCTGAAATTGACCATAAGTGCAGACAATATTTACAAAATTAAAGATACTCAAACCTGAAAAGGAAAATATATAAGTTATTCCATCAATAAATGCCATAAGTTTAATTAAGACACAATAACATGCCGAATAAATACTAATTCAGAAGTCAAACAACAAAAATCAGCGTTATACCTACAAAATTTTCACTGTGAAAATTTTGTAGGTATAACGCTGATTTTTGTTGTTTGACTTCTGAATTGCCATAAGTTTGTTTATATCTTCATTATTTTATGAGTTATTAAACATCAAAATGGGTCTGGGACTTTATAAACACCCTGTATATTATTTTCTTTTGTTATGCTAACAATAAATCATGAAATTATTTTATAAAAATTTTAAGAAATTGCTTTCAGTTTAGAAGTTATAGATACTTAATATATTATTATAATTGAAATTTTTATATGTCCTTTTGTGGTGATTTTTTTATTCAGGTATTTTGGCAAACTTTTATGAATATTATATTTTTCCATATAGCCCATTTAAGTGTTTTTCATTCATCTCTAGTTACATTTTTTTTTTTTTTTTTTCTTTTTGGCAACAGATGAGATATTCCCTTTGCCATGTAACCTTTACATTACAGTTTTGAATAATATTTAAGAAACACTCTTTGTTTTGTAATGTATACTGTCAACACCTCGTTGTTCTGGTAACAGTTTCCCAGCATGGTTTTTTTCTTGTAGTAAATCAGTAATTTTTTAGTGTAATTATATAAATTAATTATACTTACCTATGATATTCTTCTCTTTTTGTTTTAATAGGTAAAGTTCATGGTTCATTGGCTCGAGCTGGTAAAGTCAAAGGCCAAACCCCCAAGGTATAATATTTTTCTAGTGTTGTAGGTTAAGCTAGTATTTACTGTTATTAGACATGAAAAATATTCAAATCATTTGTTTATTTTACATAAAATTTTTTATAAGAATATTCGTTTACCATATAAAAATGCGATACTTGAATCAAACGAAAAATATTTCTGCATCTGTCTGATAAAAAAAAAAAAAATCTTCAAGCTCTTTGAACTAGCATTACTCTCAAAGAGCCTTTTTTTTTTTTTTTTTAATGTTTAATGTGCTACCTTTATTTATTAGATATAATTTTCTTTGCACTTAAACCACATAAAATTAAATTCAACAGCAATATCACAAAATAATTTAAAAAGAGCATGTCTTCAGAATTTCAGAAACATAGTCTCACACATTGAAGATAAAAGTGTTTCTTAGTTTCCATTGCTCGTTTTGAAGAAATTATTGAGTTTGTTAATTGAAAATTCGTTTTAAAGTATACAAAATTTGATGGCTCTAAAATCCATTGTTTTTCCACAATGCGAGAAACATTCATGCAGATTCTTCAGTATTTAGTTTCTTTAAATATAGTCCATGGTAATAATATTTGATGGCAACAGTTTGAAAAATGAGCCAACACAGAAAATAAAATAACTCAAAATGCTGTTTTGAGACTAATAGCACTTTCGATCTAATGTCGCTTTGGGCTAAAAGAAAAAAAAAAGAACTGAAAGAAAGAAAATATCATTTGTCTCTTAAAACCTTCGGAACTTGAAATATAATAAAGAGAATGCATCCGAGAATCATGGCATTGCTGTTTAAAACTGCAGAAATGGTATGCATGTGGTTGCCGAAAATTGTCATATTCTGAAAATTTCATGACTTCTGCTAAGTGGTTGTGCTAATATGTGAGAACCTAAAAATTTAGGTACTTCCTTATTATCGTCTGCATTTTTAAAACATGAAATTGGTGCCAGGATTATCATCAAATTCTTGTTTACTTCTCACATGCAATAGTGCAAGCTTCCATACTTCAGCTTCTTCATAATAACTTTTTAAATTGTTGCCACCAAATGCTATCACCCTGTATTATATTTAAAGAAATTAATTGCGATTGATTTTAAAATTGCATCATTAACATATTCTTGTCTTATGGATTTTTTCCACAGGAGTTCTATTAAGTAAGACTCATAATGACAGCAAACCATCTCCATTGATTTATATACGGTCATTTAGTGGAGTGCCACAGTGTTTCAGTATTTTGTATATAATTAGTAGTGGTTAGACAAACAAAATGAAATTTACAATCACAATAAAATGTCTCTAACTTGTTTTTCTCGTTCCTCATCAACGATCTGAAACAAACTGTTAAATCCCCTTTATACATGATTGAGGATTTTTCCCATGAGTGTTGTTACCGCTCTATTCGGAACCTCAGCAAGAAAGAATTAGTTTCTCGACATAATCTGTGAAATATCAGTACTGTGGAAGAATTCTGCCGGCTTCATTTTTTTTCTCATATAAGAACAGATGGTTTATGACCTTAATGATTCCAGGTCCAGTAATTTGCTTACTTGGTTTCTCATATAAGAACAGGTGGTAATCTGAGTGGGATTAGATGTAGAGAACACAGTTCTTTCATAAAAATGTTCCAGTCATTATAGACATCAATAGTTGTATTCATAAAGGCTGAGGTGTTTCTTCCACTACTTAACCGACATCAATTTCTCTGCCTGACAGTAAATAAATCGCTGTTCTGTTACAGTATTCTGAAACCACTGAACCAGTTGTAAAAATATATGCTTTTCCTTACATACAACTTTCCACGTTCCTCCTTCAAATACTTTCATTCATATATGGTTTTGTGTAATGGTCCTTTTCATTTGTGAAATAAAATGCTTTTTAGAAGAATGAAGTAGCATCTTCCTCACTTATCTGTAAATAAAATGGTTCTTAACCCAAAGGGGCCCAAAAGAGCTATTAGCCTCAAAACGGCTTTTTGTGGCATTTCACTATGAGCGGCAAATAACTTTTTAAATTGTTGCCACCAAATGCTATCACCCTGTATTATATTTAAAGAAATTAAGCTATAAAGAATTTGCATTCATGTATCTACTCGCATTGTGAGGAAACGACAACATGTAGAGCCATCAAATTTTGAATATGTGATCCTGCACCTGAACATTCGAATTTTGAATTCTTTTTATTATCTTTTTCATATTTTGTAAAACTTGTAATAAATTTTTTATTAACAAGCTCAGACTTCAAAACGAGCATTGGCAACATTGTGCAGGAAACAACAGCTTTATCTTCAGCATGCAAGACTGTCTATCGGAAATTCTAAAGATACGCTGTGTTTTTAAATATGTTGTGATATTGCTGTTGAATTGAATTTTATGTGGTTTAAGTGTGAAGAACATGGTATTTGATAAATAAAGATAACACACAAAGTGGTAAAAAAAAAAAATGCCCCTTTAGCTGAAAGCATTGAGAACCTTTTTTCTTTCTTTCCACCCCTTTTTTTAAGGAAAGAAAGTACATTAACATGTGGAATACTTGGGAGCTGCTCTCATGATGAGAGAATTATGAGTAATCATAAATTCTGAGCATTTGAATGGAGGGAATATGATACATATAGTTTACTCTGTGGTTTGTTTGTTTTTTTTTTAATCATGAGCAAACTATTAGTAATCAGTATTAGGACTACTGACCATTTAAAGATGCTTTGCATGGGTGATTTATTGATAATCTTAGCACTGTTCACAAAAGATAGTACCATACTGATTTCTGTGGGAATAAATTAAAGTAAAATTTGCCTATAATGTCTTTTTTGTAATCAAATTATTAGCCTTAGGCTATTAATTTCATTTTGGCATTTTGCATTAATTCACTTTTCAAACTGTTGCCACTAAATATTACAGCCCTGTATTATATTTAAAGAAATTAAGTAATGAACGATCTGCATAAATATATACGTGTTTCTCGCATTGTGATTAAACAATGGTACCTCGAGCCATCAAATTTTGAATAACATAATCCTCCACCGAAAATGGGCATCTGGAAGCCCTAATTTGGAATTTATTATCTATTTCATATTTTGTCAGATATTAAAGAATTTTTGATTAACAAACTCAATGATTTCAAAGCGAGGAGTGACAACACTGTGCGGGGAAAAACATTTTGATATCCAGCATGTATCTGAACTGTGTATCTGAAATTTTAAAGATGCTCATTTTAAAATTATTTTGCCATATTGCTGAATTTTATGGTATAAGTGTGAAGTACGTGATATTTAATAAATAAAGGTAACGCATAAAACGTTTTAAAAAAAACCCTTTCGGGCGTAGTGTAAAATCTGAAAGCTTTCTGAAATTATTTTTTTTAATTTTGATTTCGTATATAAACCAACCCTAAGATTTCAGTAGCCCCCTGTCCAAAAAAGTTTTGAGCTTATACATTTAAATGGAACAGTAATTCTTCAGCTACATCTATTAAAAATTGAATTCTTAGTAATTGATTTTGTAGTTTCCTATTGTTCTACTTTTATATTATTGATAGAGATTGATGTGGCTGAGAAATGTTTTTTCTGATAAATTACATTACTTAATACAGTAAACTATAATTGTACTTCTGCAGAGCATCTACTAAATTGCCCATAATGTTGCTACCAATGATACAAATGCATTTTTTGCACATAGCAGCTTTTGAATCACTCTGTGCCTGCTCTTTATTACTTTCTTTCATCAGCATTGACTTTTATTTAGTGATTAACTATCTTAATTTTCAGGATTAAATAAGTAAAATAATTTTTTGTTGTACCCTCTACATTTACTTTAGTTCAAAAAAGTTAATGTATAGTATAATTATTCATACCTATTGTAAACAAATATTTATAATATACTATTCGTTAATAGATAAAAACAGGAACAGTGTTGAATTTTGTGAAAATATCTCGCATATTTTTAATATGTAAATATGTTTTAATTTGTCATGTTATTTGTATTTTAATTATAAGAACAGTCACCTACAAAAAGTTTGTACTCATAGCATTCTAAACAGATCTTCTCGGGAATTCTAACAAAATAATACAAAACTCCAAAAACTTTTTTTATGTAGTGAAGAAGTGAAGCCAGTTGAATGTGGATTGTTTATTAAATTAAGAGGATTCTGTCAGAGCCGTACCAATGGTTTTCAGCAACCAAGGACCGCTGAAAATTTTATGCCCCTTCCTGTTTATCAAGAATATTAGCAAAAATGTGGTATCAGGACTAAGGGAAAATAATTATGCACTGTTTTCACCATGAAAATACCAAATACGGTTAATATGATTTACATAAATATAAATTGTAAACTGAATGGAAAAATTACGTGCATGTTGCTCATTTTAGTTCATCAGTCTTTCATTTATTGTTATCTGCTGTAATTATAGTTGAGTTTAATAAATTCTTGTTCGTAAGGATTTATAAAACTTTTGGTAGATTGTCAGAATATTCAGTTACTAGTAGTTTTCTGGCTAATCTCTCTCTATTTATTTATTTTATTTTTTTTAAAAAAAGATTTAGAGTAATGGTCGAGTTTACTGAAATTTCAAATTTGGCAGTTCTGTGTATCAAATTATTTTTTTCTGTTGTTCTTGATAAAAAGCAGACAATAAACATAAGCTGAAACAGTTATGATATTTAGCCAATTCACTAAATGCACTTTTATGTTCAAATGTCAGTTTAAAATAACTTTTTTTTATTAAATTAAAAGTTTGTTCTTTTTCTTCAAAAAATAGGTAGAGAAACAAGAAAAGAAAAAGAAGAAGACTGGGCGTGCTAAGCGTAGAATGCAATTTAATAGAAGATTTGTAAATGTTGTTGTAACATTTGGAAGGAAAAAAGGACCTAATTCTAACTCTTAAATGTTGATTCTTCTTTGTATGCCACCTCTAAATTGCTTCTAAATAAATTTTGTTTCTTGGCAACTCCAAGATTTACATGGCTGTTGAAATTTTTACCATACGCTAGGTAAGGGAACTAGTGCGCATAATATGTTTTGGGATTAATGTTGTTTTATGTATAGGTACCTAACTCACTAATCCTAAAATTTATCACACTATATTTACTGAAGATTTAACCGTTTTGATGGAAATAACTTAGCTTTATACCAAAAATGATCCTTAGAATTGCATAGTGCAATTAACTCTTAAAAATCCAAGCTATTTCCAGAAATGGCACCTCAGAAAGATTTTCCAAAAATTATGTCTCTTTGATAAGTCCCATCTCATGGGATAAGACCATTTAGCTTGGTATTGCATTGTACTTTTTGTGCTTATTCAAAAAAGACATGGATAAATTCAATTATATCACCTGTAACATATGGCGGTAATTTAGTACCAAAAATAAATTCTTTAAAATAACAATATTATACGAAATAGTGCACAGGCCTGTTGTGTTCTACTTGGGCTTGTGCTATGATATTTTATGGTAGTTTCCTCAATGATATTTGCGACTCAGATAAATCCAAATAAAAGAAACCATACATAGATAATTTCAAAAAAAAAAAAAAATCATGAAAAAGGTGAGGCCTATACTTTTAGTTAGGATCGTGCAGCAAAAAAAAAAAAAAAAAAAAAAAAAAAAAAAAAAAAAAAAAAAAAAAAAAAAAAAAAAAAAAAAAAAAAAAAAGTGTAATTAACTTCAATTTTTAGTAAATAAGTATGTGCAAAAGTGACGTGCTAAAAACTCAGCCTATTTATATATATTAGTAATACAGTGGAACCTCGAGATATGTGTTTAATTTGTTTCAGCATTGAGCTCGTTTTCTCGTATATAGAAACAAACCTCGCCTTTGAAAATAATGGAAATCCAATTAATCCAATCCGCACCCCCAAAAATATCAACATATAAATCAATTTTCCTGATAAATGCCTAGTGTTTATTTGAGAATGTGCAAGTACAGATTCTTACCCTTATCACAAAAGATAGCTTAGGTTCCGGCAAATGCTTTCACTACCATCTGGGTTTCACCATCAGCTCCTGTCCTCTTGGATCTATTGTTCAGATTCAGTCTACCTTCTGCGTCCTTTGTGCAATCACTTGATGACAGCCGGAACAAATCGAGCATTTTGCTTGATAATCACGGCAAAAGAGGAACTTGGAACCATTTGGGTACCTGCGAATGACGCTAACTTAGTGTTATCCAAATTAAGTGATTTTTGAATCCATAAAAATTTCTAACAGAATTCTCCAATGAAAATGGCAATATGCAATCCTTTCTGGAGATAGCTTTCGACACTAAATTGCCTTTTAACCGATTCTCGTTAATCCACACCAACAACATCTTCTAGGAACTTGGAAATAACGGTAACTCGTTTGGCCAGATCAGGTGTGTTAATTTCTTCAGAATAGTGCAGATCGTCGATGTCGTACGGCCAAGTTTTCGCCAATTCTGTTATTCTTAACCACACTTATGTTTATCTATGATTCCTTTTTTGCTTTCAATGACCATGGCTTCCTTCTTTGCAGCAATATCTGAGCCAACAATCTTCTTGGGAGGCATTGCAACATAATTATTTTTATGTTAAATGTAAAAAACAACTCGTAAGTGCGCAAACACGTAGATCAAAGAACACTGAGTGCTCTGATGAGGTATTCCCCCGAGTTGAGCCTGATTGCGAAACTTTGCCACGCATACCAACAACCTGGCTAATTACTCGAGTCAGTGCTCATATTTAGAGACGAATTTTTAACTCATCCTTTCCTTGTATATAGAGGTGCTTGTATCTCAAGGTTCCACTGTATATTAAAAATTCTGAAATCCACAAATGTAATACATATACTTTGCATGCCTGCTAGATTTCACTTTGAATTAACATTCCCACTGTAGGACACATGAAAAGTTAATTATGCTACCGAATTTTTTCATATAAAGTAAACACTGAATGCGGAGTTATGTCATTAATACACTGCGCATAAGGCAAATGTTCTGCGAAGTTAACTTTCTAATCTAGGAAATCTATGAATTATAATTCAGATGAAAAAGAACACGTATAATTTAACTGGTGTTATAAGATCATCCAATTCTTCACAGTCATTTCTTGGACTACTTTTCTCATAACTGAGAATCCTTTGCTGCAAAGTAATTTTGCAATTTGTACACTTTCTTTGACTTAACTTCACTCAATGGAAATCCTTTAAAATTTCTGATAACTTCTGGCCAGAGTTGATACCAGTAAGCATTTAATGTCAATGAATGAATTTTGAACTGCATGTAAATGAAATCCCAGTATTGTAAATATTAAGATAGAAACAAAGTGAATGTACTATATGGGAATCCATGGCTCATCAAGCATGTACTGTATTCTGATCTTCAAAATAAAATGCATATAAATGAAAAAAAAAAAAAATTACGTGAAACATCAACCAATTCCATCAATTTTGTTCAAAATATTTGCCTTTCTCCATAGAAAAATGAACTTTTCCAGTAAGAACTACATTCAATAAATATCATTTTAGCATTTTATACTCGCCCTTATGCACTGGGAGGTACCACATTCTAGAATTACCGAAGTTTGATATTTACCATTCCGATCAACACCAAATGTATACGTAACTTGCTTGGCCTTGCTAGAGCTACATTGTACTAGAAGAAAGAAAGGAACTAATGACTTTTTTAACTTCCTTGTAGGAAGTATTGGAATTCTGCAAAATTTCGGGTATCATATTTCAAGGAAAATATCCATTTTGACTCTCTCGAATCTATTTGAAGGATGTTCTTTACATGTCATCTGTAAGTGAAGACAGAATAAAGGACTCTTTCCTAAAATGGATTCAGAAGAGACTTTTTGTGTGTGTGTGTGACATCTGCATGTACGTATGTATGTATCTTGCATAACTCAAAAATGAGTAGCCTTTGAATGTTGAAATTTTTATTTGGGGCTGTATAGCATGTGGTTGTGCACCTCCCTTTTTTTTTGGTTGCAAACAGCTGCACCAAAAGTGCATATAAATGCTGAGTTGCCAACTCTCCTGATTTAGGTGGGAGCTTTCTGATTTCTGACATATTTCTCCCAATTTTTATCTGGCTTCGTTTAATACTTCTCTATTGGCACCCCAAAAAGTTATTTTTGGCATCTGAAAGTGCATGGTTTTTCTTTAGAATACATATAAGAGAAAATAAAAGTCATCAGTGAGACATTATGGCACGCTTCTGATGTGTGAGAGCACATTTATCTAAAAACATCATGTTCCAGTCCTTCAATGAGCATCAAATGCTACAGCAGGCCATCTAGCCCAAAAGTTGACTCCTTTTCCATGAAGTCGCTTATTCCGCTGAATAGGGGATAAAGATTTCCCTTCTGGCAGTAAAATGTCCAGGTGCATTTATTAGCATAAATTTAGGTATTTTGCATAATGGAACTCGAAAGGCATACAAAACGAACATGTGCCAAGATATATATTGGCGAGAGAAAGTAAAGTTCATGAACAATGCAGTATATTCGATTCTCACCTTAACTTCTTGTACCTGGCCAAAGGTCTAATGCAGTTAGTACTTTCTTCTCTTTCAGGTATTGTGTCGAAGTATGTTCGTGTTTCTCTTTTCTTTTATTGCCTAAAATAGGTAAGCCTGATATTCGCGACTGATGATGATTCTATGTAAGTTATCTTCTTTTCAATACTTCAGTGTTTTAATGTCTGTGAAGATTATTACTTTTTATTATGCTTAAGTTAAGCAAAATTCTACTGCTTTATTAAATAAAGATTTCGTAGTAATTTTTGACTTATGATTCTTTAATGAAAACTGTGCTTAAGGAAACGTACTCATTATGCCTTCAGTGCTAATGCACAACCAACAGCATTCCATTTCAATCTTGGTTAGCATCAAATACTGTATCTTAGATTTTCATGGGACAAACTTGGAGGGGTGGTGGAGCGTAGTAAAACATGCCTTTTTTTAGGAATGTAGGGTCTAATGTGACGGGTTAAGGCAGGAACGCGAAAAACGACACGAGAGTAAAATGTGTTTATGTACAAAATCAACGAAAGTGCTTCTTTGAAGCAATACAGTAGTCACAAACAAATGTTCAAAATTGAGACCACCAGCAGTAATACATGCTTGGTAACGTCGCAGAAGGGATTGACGAACATTTTGAAAAAAGACGGGCACTTCGCGGATGCTTGCAGCCGCACTGGATAGTCGTGCAACAAGGTCCTCCAGTGAGTCAACAGGAGTCTCGTAAATGATGCTCTTCAGATGGCCCCATAAAAAAATCCAAGCTGGATAAATCTGGCGAACGGGATGGCCATCGATCGGGTCCACCACGGCCAATCTATCGGTCTGGAAATGTCACATCCAAGTAATTGCGGACTCGCACGTGGTTATGGGCTGGTGCACCATCATGCTGGAACCACATGCGATCAGGAACGACAGCCGGAACATCCTGCAGCAATTCCGGTTGCACCTCTTGCCGAAACATATGATAACATTAGACATTTGTACGTGCAGGTAAGAGGTATGAGGTTAGTTTACAAGTATGTTGCAAATCTCCTAGCCGATAATAATCGGCCTTATGGTTAACGCAGCATAGCCGACGCAGGCAAACAAAAATACAAATTAAAAGATAAAATTAAATGAAAAAATAATCCATTACATATTTAGTTTTCAAACATATTTAAACCCTACAAATTTAAATTAAACATATTAATTAAATATTTTAAATTTAAATTAGTAACCTATGAGGTAGTCGTTAACAATACCAGCACACGGAGAAGCGATTTTGGAATGCATGTGGACGTATGCCGTGTGCATTATGAGTTGCTTACACGTGCATGTTGTGGCTATTGAAGATGCTGTCCTGTGAGAAAGTTGCCTCGTCCGTGAATAGAACATCCGATGGGAAATCCGCCTGTGCCGCACACTTCTGCAAGAACCAATGATAGAAATGAACTCGAAGAGGATAATCTGTCTCTTGCAATGATTGGACTCTCTGCAAAT